ACTTTGGATGTGTTGTTGTTAGGTGCTGTCAAGTCAATTTCGACTCCTAGTAACCTTGTGCACAGGAATGAAACACTGCCCAAGTCTTGCACCATCCTCCCAGTTGTTGTTAAGCTTGAGCCCGTTGGTGCTACCACTGTGCCAGTTCATTTCACTCGGGGGTCTTCCTCTTTTTCACTGACCTTCCACTTTACCTAGCATGATGTCCTTCTTCAGAGAATGGTCCCTCCTGATAGTATGTCCAAAGTATGATAGGCAAAGTCTTGCCATCCTTACTACCAAGGAGCATTTTGGTTGTATTTCTTCAAACACAGATTTGTTTGTTCTTCTGACAATCCATGGTACTTTTAATATTCTTCTCCAACACTGTAACTCAAATGCATCAGTTCTTGTAAGGCCTTCTTTATTCACTGTCCAATTTTCACATGCATATGAGGTTATTGAAAATACCATGGCATGGGTTAGGTACACCTTAGTCCTCAAACTGATGTCTTTGCTCTTAAATACTTTAAAGAGGTCTTTTGCAGCAGAATTGCCTAATGAATCCAATACTATTGTTGCTCAAATTATTTTCGTGTAGGCAGCTGGTAACTCTTTAAGTTTCTGTATCCTTTTGACATACCCCATTGTGGCATTTTTATTACTGTTTTAATACAGCCTTCTTTCTGGCATTACACGATACTCTAGCCTTAACGGGCTTATATTCTGTCCCTATCGGAATCCTGGTGTGGCACTGTGGGTTAATGTGCCAGACTTCAAAGCCGTTTGAACTGCAAGGTCAGCAGTTCAAGCTCACCAGCCACTCCTCAGAAACGCTATACAGGGTCATTATGGGTCAGAATCAACTCGACGGCGCTTAACAACAACAACAATCTGGGAATCAGCCATTTCTCCCAGGAGCCTTGTTATTTGGTGTTCTTTTTTGTTGTTGTTTTGGTTTTGTTGTTTTTAACAGCAGTGTTAGAATCAAGATTTGGTAGTTAAGTGTGCTCATCACTTCTGGGGTATTGCTGCTTCTAGGTTTTTTTAATAGACAGAGCAAGAATATGTATGTGTGTATACTAACCTGTGTATAAAACAAAACCAAAAATCAAACCCACTGCTGTCAGTGAATTTCAATTCATAGTGACCCTGTAAGACTGAGTAGAACTTCCCCAAAGGGTTTCAAAGGCATAAATCTTAATGGAAGCAGATTGCCACAGCTTTCTCTTAACAGAGCAGCTGGTGGGTTCAAACTGCTAACCCTTCTGTGTTTAATCACTTAGATCCCAATGTGTATATACATTTATAAATAGTTAGGTAGCCAGCTGTGTAAATATGATTTGATACTGATGTCTCCAACTCTAGTTCATTATCACATGGGTCATGCTAGCATCTTCCTCTTGTTTATCTGTAACCTGCCATGTAATTGGAAGTATATAGTGTGTATCCTTTTCAGAGTGGCTTCTTCCACCATTACCATCCATTTACTTAATTCATCAATCCCAGTACACATGTGTTGTGGTTTCAGAATTGTTAACTTGCATCCCTTATTGGGGAGCGTGGTTGTTCCATATGATAAGCACTGGACTGCAAACCACAAGGTCCACAGTTTGAGTCCACCAGCCACACTGTAGGTGAAAGATGAGCTGAGGCTTTCTGCTTCCATGAAGGTCTAAAACCTTGGAAACCTTATACAGACAGGGTCACTATGAGTTGGAAATGACTTGACACTTAACAAAAACAACCCATAATCAGTTAGAATAAATACTTTTATATAGTGCGCTTTCCCTTTATTTTTACAAACTCCAGTCCTTTCTATTATTATTTAGGTCAGCACCTTACTCCTCCATCCCTTTAATATTGTTTCAGTTAGGTTCTTTCCCCTTTCTGAGGCATTCTTCCACCTTTCAGTAGCATACGTAGCATATTTGTAGTGCAGTTAGATAATTTTGTTGTAGTCTACATTCTACCGTGGGCCTTTGAACTTACATACCAAAATTCTCTCCTTGTCATATACAATTTTATAGATTTTAACAGATGCACAGTGTCTTGAATCCACCATTACACAGTATCATACAAAATAGTTTTACTGCCTATGTAAATCCTTATTCAACCTTTCTCTGAGCCCCTGAAATGTACTGATCTATTTTGGGTCTCTTATTAAAATTTTTCCTTTTCCAGAATAAAATAACATTGAAATCATATTGGTTTCAGTTACATAACAGTATATGATATTTAACATTTGTCCTTGACTTTGTGTGGCTTAATAGCATCACCCTTTTTATTTCATTGTATGACTGTATCACAGTTTGTTTATCCATTCACCTATTGAAGGGCATCCGTTTGCTGTCAATTTTTGGCAATATAAAAAATTGCTATAAACATTTGTATGCAGATTTTGTATTGAGTAAATCTCTAGGAGTGTTTTTCAAAGTGATGGCACTAATTTGCATGCTCATCAGTGAATAAAAGTTCTTCTTACTTCACACTCTACATCAACAGTTGGTATTATCTTGGGAATTTTAGCATTCTGATATATGTATAAGGAGCCTTAGTGGTCCAGTGGGTTAAGCGTTCAAACCCACAAGCAGCTCGAGAAGAAAGATGATCTGTCTGTTCCCGTCTCAGAAACCATAAGGAGCATCTCTCCTCTGACCTGTGTGGTCACTCTGAGTTGGAATTGACCTGATGGCTGTGGATAATAGATACGTTGTTGTTGTTAAGTTCCAGTAAGTTGGTTCCAATTTATAGTGACCCTGTGTAGGGTTTCCAAGAAGTGGCTGGTGGATTTGAACCACCAGCTTTGAGGTTCAAACTGATCTTGTGGTCCAGTGCTTATCCTATAGTGCTCCACCTGGACTCTAGTAGGCATGCATTGATATCTTATTGTTGTTTTAATTTACATTTTTATAATAACAGAAGATATTGGGTATTTTTCATCTACGTATTTGCCATCTGTACATCTTTGGTAAGGTATATATGTTCAGATCTTTTTGTCCATTTTGAAAATTACATTATTTTTGTCCTGGTGACACTGTAGGATAAGCATTAGACCTGCTAATCGCAAGGTTTGTGGTTAAAACATACCAGCTGCTCCTCAGAAAACCTGTACAGGGTGACTATGAATTGGAACTGACTCATTGGCACTTAACGGTAGTAATTATTTGTTGAGTTTTAGGTGTCCTTTGGATATTAACAGGTGTATGTTTTGCTTGTGGTTTCATTATCTTAACAGTATCTTTAACTGACCAGAAGCTTCCATGTTTTATCTATTCCAGTTTACCAATTTATTCTATCATGGATTATGCTTTTGAAAGTTTTATACCAAAAAACTCACCACCAAACCCAAAATCACAGATTTTTCTGTGTTTTCTTCTAGAAGTTTTATAGCTTTCTTTGCATTTTACATTTAGGTGTATGATCCATTTTGAGTTAATTTTTTAGAGAGGAGTAACGTAATTTACTTAAATTAATCTGCTTTGACTTTTGTTGTTGTTAAGTGTTGTCAAGTTACTTCTGATTCACAGTGACCCAGTATAGGGTTTCCAAGGAGTAACTAGTGATCTTGAACCACTGACCTGTGGTTCATACTGACCTTGCAGTACTGTCCTTATCCTACAGTGCTACACCAGAAGTCCATGACTGTTTAGACATACTTTATTCTCTCATCCTCCTTCTTCTGACTCACAAATTCCTTACTAAACATATCTGCCAGTTTATTTGCAAGTAGTGAGAGTATATATATGATTTATATATATACTTATGTTTATAGGGCATGAAAAATTTTTTTTGCTAAAAATCTGCCAAGGTTTTAGCCTGTTTTGTTATGCTTTATTGAGTTGGTTCTGACTCATGGAACCCTGCATATGGTTTCCAAGTTTGTAAATCTTTGCAGGAGCAGAAAGCCTCATCTTCTTTTCCTGGAGCAGCTGGTGTGTTCAAACCACATCTTCTTTTCCTGGAGCAGCTGGTGTGTTCAAACCACTGACCTTGTGGTTAGCAGCCCAGTGCTTAACCTACAGAGTCATAATGCCTCCCAACCTAACCATCTCCAAATAGAGTTTAAACTTGATTTTCATCCTGTTATAGAAAACTTAAGGCAAGGTTTACGTTTATAATTATAAAAATTAACATTCTTAGAACTTCACAAATGTAAAAGCTAAAAATTAAATTCTTTCTTAGATGATCAAACAAGCATCAGGAAATCCAAGGATATGAACAGAATAGAAATGTATTATGTATAATGAAATCCACAGCCATCAAGTCGATTCCAGCTCATAGCCATCTAAAACGATAGGACAGTGTAGAACCTGCTCCTTAGGGTTTCCAACACGTACATCTTTATGGGAGCAGACACACCCTCATCTTTCTCCTGCTTCTTATGTAAGAGCAGGTCTTAATTAAGTAGATATTGATATTTACCAATAGATGTTTAAAAAATAACATAGATCTACTAAAGTTTTATGGAATTTATCTGTCAACCAAATCTCCCTTCTGATTTGCTTTTTGATAGTATAGTATGTAGTTCATTCAGTTTCTGCCAAAACACTTATAAGGAAAAAAAGTACTTCATCGATGCTGAACAAATTAATACTTGAATTCCATCTTATATCAAAATATCTTTTGTAGTTGCCCATATAAGTATGTAATGTCTTAGCATTACATATTTCTAGGGGTACAAATCCCTGCTAGTTGAGAAAACTGCTGTAAGAAAAAGAATGTAGTGTAATTTCAGTATATTAGAACTTAATACAGAATTATTTTTATCAGCTCATTCTAAGTGGTGGTATTCTAAGGTGCAAAAATACTTACTGCATCTCTTAAAAGTTAGTAAAATGATCTTCTTTTGCTTTGTAAGATCAAGCATTTTTTAAATTATAAGCTTACAAGCTGAATAGTAAAATCACAAAATAACACATTTATTCTTGCACTTTTTAAAATATATTCCTTATAAGTATATGTATTGCAAATGAATTACTACTGAATGTTAATAATCTATTATGTCTTATTTTTTAAAGTGAATGAATTTTTAGCTTTTGAGGGCCCCATCTTGTTGGATATGAGAATTAAACATCTAATCAAAACAAATCAGTTAAGTCAAGCAACTGCTCTAGCAAAGCTGTGTTCTGACCATCCAGAGATTGGTACGAAAGGTAGTTTTAAGCAAACGTACCTTGTCTGTCTTTGTACATCATCACCAAATGAAAAGTTAATCGAAGAGGTGAGTATTTTTTTCTTTTGTTAGTATTTTTTAAAGTGAATAATTTTTAAATCAGATTAATATGTCTATGACTTCCCTTTTTAGATAGTGAGGAACTATTGTTGTCAGTCTTTATGTTTTGTTGTGATATTAGGTAATGGCCAATTGATTAGTCTAAGAAGCTTTCAGAAGTATGTGTAGATGGATTTCACCCAGCTTTTATGGTAAATAATGTGGATCTTGTAAATGCTTTGTCTAAATTATGGAAACAACAGTGTTAGTTTAACAGGTTAGTAAGATATTTATATTTGTCAGCATATGGGCCTTAAGCACCTGAATTCAAGATACTAACAGAACTTTTTAACTATCTGAATTAAGCAAGTAACTTTATAAAAATTTTATTTATTTTTTTTTTTTAAAGGAAGACTTTCTCTGTTATATATAGTCATGGATTGAATTGTACCCCCAACATTATGTGTCAGCTTGTCTATGCCATGATTCCCAGTATTGTGTAGTTGACTTTCATTTGAGATCTAATGTAATAATCCTATGGTTTCTGATGCAATATAAATTCTAGGCTCTGTATGTCAGTGCGACAGAATCAGTGGCAGGTATATCTTAAGGCACCACCCTTACTCAAGTCACATGCTTGCTTGAGTTGTACCTCTTATCTTACAAGAGATAAACGGAGAGAGTACTGAGACTTCACTA